ATTGATGGATGACCACATCGACTCAAGGTTGAGGGACTGATTACCTCATTCTCCTCCTGTTCTTCAAGTTTCTCCTTTGTATGGACTGATGAAGCCACTGTGTGGCGAAACGTTTCCACAATAAAGATACCCAAGAGTTGCACATGTGTCTAATTTATTATTATCTTGCTATTGTTCTTAGTTCTTTACAAGATTCTCGAAAAGTTTTCTAAAAACTGATCATTGCAGTAACTAGTTCCTACTAGTTACTGCAGTTTATTGTCATACAAATCAGATCTTGGGTTGTAGGTTAAATCATTTCTTCCTTAACACGTACCCCACCACCTTGTCTATTTCTATCCAAGAGTTGTATATTGTAGTTTTCTTGACTCACGAAATCGTAATGACACGATTGCCACGGCCACGCTAGCTGGAGATTCGTCTGTAAAAACTTGCATTTGTGGTCACAGAGGTGCCTGTGCTAACCTTCCTATGGTTGTAGAAATATACCTAGTTGGGTGAATCTTATTGTGGTAGCTGGTCCAGTGGCTAACGTGACGGTCTGGAGTTTTGAGGCTCAATGATCGCGGGTTCTATCCCCGCCCGTGGTATGGTTTGTAGTTTTCTATTTTAACTTCGTCGTCAGTCATCGTGTCATCTAACCAGGATTCAGAGAGGGATGTAACTGCCGCATTACTCTTGTTTGCTAGAATCCTAATTTCCGACATTTTTGGTGAAAGTGATCTAACATTGACCTGAGTAAAGTGAAGGTCTTCTTTCTTGAAACATAGTCATTAATATATGGCAGGGGTTCATTTGTAGTAAAACTGTTAGATAAATCAATGTCGGCACTGCTGGAGGGTAATGGAGCTCAAATGTTCTTGTTGCAAACAGATATTTAGCACCATTAACATAACCAAAATTACAACCGTTGTGCACCCACAAATTACACACTTCACATATGGTGTAATTACCGTTCTTCCTCTGTACCCTAGTACAGTGTAAACAACTTGAATAAAATTGATGAAATCGTTGTACAACTTAATAAAGTATTGTTAGCTGAAATAAAATAAAAGTAAATGAAGCACGATTGCAATCACCTGGATTCCCTAAAACTACACAATCCAGGGCAACTTGGTTCAGGGCAGGTCGCTCCTGCCTCTCGCAACTACTGGATCACTGTGATGTGGTCTTGGTTGCACTGGAAGAAAAACAGAATGCAGATATAATATATACAGACTTTACGAAAGCCTTTGACAAGTGCGATCACGGTGTAATAACGCTAAAGACACAGGAAACAGGCATCTTTATTTCCCAAAAGTTTTGCC